ATATATATATATATATAAATATTCTTTAAAAATGATTAAATTCGTAGAATATATTTTTCCCGCCTATCGATGTATATGCGCAATGAAGGGAAAACAGTTACGTTTCTCTTTTATGTGAGAATTGTGCCATCTGTGAATCTTTGCGAATGAAGCGCACCGAGATGTTACTGTCACACTAATCCTTCAATACGCGCCTCGAATGCTTTATGCTCTGGAAAATTTTTCTTTTTTTTTTTCTAATTTTTAATTTTTAATTTTTAATTCTTTTCTACGCGACATTGAAAAAAATGCGACCAATAGCAAGGAAACATAGAATACCGGCCTTATAAAGTTGCTTGAGGAAACTGTAAACTGCGGTAGAAGTAAAGTATTTAGAAAATACGACGCACGAAGCGCAACTGTCATGGCGTCCTCAGTACTCGCTGCAAACAGGATCAAGCTAAGACAGAGCATGGAAAATGAGGTGACGCCTTTCGCTCCGCCATCTTGAAATTTGGTCGATTTGTTTAATTAATTGTTCATAATATTATTAACTTACCTTCAAAATCTTCATTAGCTCTGTCTTGCACGATCTCGCTATCTCTGAAATCTGGTTCAATACTGTTGATAGACGTATAATCGTAACCGTCGACCTTTCGCCGTTTTGCTGGGGACGAATATTCTGGCACCTCCGAGCCTGACGCCATTTTCAACAGCAATGCATTGCATACTTTGATGAGCGGGCCGGTAGCTTAACAGAGGTCGCTTTTATCCATAATATCCCCTCCTTGTTCTTACATGGGAATAGGAGACGGCAACTAGACCGATTTCTACCACTTAACAATAAAATCAAATAATGACACAAAAACCATCATTGCAAATTATCGTCATTAACTTTAACTATTTATGTTTTAATCTTGAAAATAATTCTCCCTAAAAGAATACAGATATATATAATATTATATACTTTATTATAAATTTATATTTAGAGTTTATCAAATAAATGCGTTATTAYTATTATTATTTTTAACATAACAATATCTAAAGATATTAATTGTAATAAGTAAAATATATATTTTATCACACAATATATCTTTGATAAAATATAATACAAATTTATCATTCAGAAACTTATGATAAAGTACTAAAAATCTGTTAGCATTCCTTCTATATATCTGACGTGCAAATGTATATGTCAAATAGAATTTAAATAAAAGAATTCATACTTCTTTGGATTCATTGTCTTATTTAACAAAAGAAATAGATAAGGGAAAAAAGGACAATTAATTCTTAGCCCAAATAACAGTAAACTCTTTCGCATTTGTATTTGGTTATGTCTAGAGGTTAAGCAAGTGATGGTAATTATATATTTTTATCGATTTATCAATTTTTTATAATTGCGATAGTTATTATACTATACAGACGTAAGAATCATTTATTATATAGTAAATAGTTATATACAGAACACAGTATATTTATACTCGTATAAATTTATATAATAAGAATAATTAAACAATACTGTATAATAGACTTACTATGAGATAATACTAATCTAATACTTTTAATTATAAAATTGAAAGAAATTTAGAAAATCTATTATTATTAACAACCAAATCAATAGTCTATCTACTTATTTCTTTTTTCAATAATTACATCACTTATATCAGAATGAAAATTATGATAAAAATATATATTTCTTCTTAGTATAATTATTTATTATAATTAATAGAAGTATACATTACTTAAATTTAACAATACATTAATTTATATCATCTGGTTTTTTACTATTATCTTTTTTTATAAGACGTCTTAACATCACAACAATAGGCATTTCAACGTGTTGATCTTTTGGTATATACTTCTGTTGAAAAAGATACCAAGATAAGTGTATCGTGGTAATAATGATTCCAAATGTTGCTACCGAATGTACAAACAACTTCATTGGTCGTATAGGCTTCATTGCTTCAATAATATTATATTTCCTTTTTTGCAGAAATTATTCAACAAAGTATTAATATCAACTGATATTAATATCAACAGGTTCATAAAAATGATACTTTCATATAATTGTATTGGTAACTTGATTGTAGAGAATTATAGTTTCTAAAAAAATTAATAAAAATTATTTTCTTTTGTAATCCATTTAATGTATCTTATATAAATATTTTATAATTAATATTAATTATAGCAAGATAATGATGACTACAAAATATAATATTTGAAAGTTTATTAAATATAGACAAATATTTTAAATATTTTATAAAAAATGTTATCCTGAAGTAAAATAGAAATGTCCTAATTATTTCTTATATGATTTAATATAGTTATGGAAAAATAGTAAATTATATTGTATCAGATAGCAAAATTTACAAAATTTAATTACCTTTAATTATCTAATTTTTTAATAAAATGATTTGTTACAACTACAAATTAGAAATTAACGAAATTAGCAAATATATGAGATCGTATTAACAAAATTACTTTAGAAATCAAATTTATTCCTACTTTATAGGTTATGTACAAATGTGATAGATATTTTATATGCATGTAAGGATAAGTTAATTTAAATTAGAAAAGAAAATAAAGTTTTTATCTACAGAAAGGGATCTATTTATACCTTAAATATAAAAGAACCTATAAAAAGAGATAAAAAGAATATATCTTCTATCTCGTTCTATCTTTTTCACATGAAAATAATCCTTTATAGTTATGTCCTTATAACGTTACGACGACGTTGCATGGAAACTAAGCTTAAGTTACACCAACCAAATATAGTACAATTCTACCTTTTCATTGATAGTTATTGTTGAGACACGTGCTGGTATAAAAAGTGTATAAAAGTGTATAAAAGTTTATAAAAATTTAATTTATTATTTTTTCTTATTAACAAATATTTTCAAGATTTTTGATAATACAATTAATTTTAATAATTTTTGAATAAAATACATAAAAATGAGCGTGAGTATCAGAATATATTATTGTATTTAATATAAAATAATTTAATGTAAATAAGTTAATATTTTTATTTCTTTCAACAGAAACAAAAAAAATCTAAGATTAGTAAAATTAAAAGAAACAATCAGACAAAAACAAAACTTTTAAAACAAGGAAAATTGAAAACCCGAAGACACAAGCAACCTAAGAAACAAGTTCAAAAAATTATACCTAAAGTAAACAACGTGGAAGAAGAAGAAGAAAGTGATAATGGAGAAGATTTATTACATATGGTCGAAAAAGACGATTTGTCTTTTTTACAAAATGCTATATCTAATAAATCTTATAATTTATTGAAGAAAATAAGATTAAATGAGTATAAAAATCATTTTTGTATAATTATATAATCTTAACAATGAAGAAGTATTTCATTTAATATTTATTTTAGAACAGATATCAACGATAAACAAGGACGAAAATCTAAAAGAAAGAAGGAAGATGATCGGCTAGAAGAATTGTATGAAGAAAATGTATTTAAGTTAAATGAAGGAAACAGTATAAAAAAGATGCGTATGCTACTTCCTATAAAAACTCAACAAGGTGTATTAGAAAAAAGAATAATAGAAGAAGAAGAAAAAGAAGAAGAAGAAAAGGAAGTTGAAAATAATGAAGCAAGTATTTCTGAACAAAATTCCGAAAACGAAGAGCAAAATAACCATGAAGAAATAAATAAATATTTACAAGTAAATATGTTATATTACATATAAAAGTTGTTTGAATTCTATAACTTTTTCAATTTAATAGTAGAATATAATAATAAAAATAAAATAAAATTTTAGAATAATTTAAACAAGGAAAATGGTGAAGCAGTATCTACAGTAGAACTTATAGCATGTCGTGAAGAGATATTAAAATCAAGACGTTTCAAAATTGGAGTTTTATCCAGTACACTTTTAGAAAATCCAGAACAGAAAACTAACAATTTTAAAATACTTTTGGATTTCATGGAAGAAAGTAATCCAGAAATTTATATCACCGTTAAAAAATTGGCAATGATATCGCTCTTAGAAGTATTTAAAGATCTTTTGCCATCTTATCAAATTTTACAACTCAAACCGGAAGGCGTCAAATGTTTGTATATTATTTTTTATCGATACAAATATATTTATAGAAACTATCTAATTACGTGTATTTTTAATTTTGTGTATTTTAGTGAAAAAGGAAACATTACAATTACATAATTATGAAGCTGTTTTATTAAAAAGTTATAAAGAATACTTGCAGAAACTTGAAAAAATGTCTAATATTTTGAGAAAAAAAGTTGGAGATACGCGAATAATTAATGAAAGAGAAATTTTATTGGGAGAACTTGGAGTAACGTGTATGTGCGAATTATTAGTTTCACATCCTTATTTCAATTTTTCTATGAATATAGCAAATTTTCTCATACCATTGTTAAATAACAAAAAAATTAGCGTAAGAGAAAAGGTAGTAAAATGTATTTCTCAAGTATTTAAAGAAGATAAGCGAGGAGAATTATCGCTTACGGTAAGAAAATTCTATATAAAATTATTTTGTTTATTGGTAATGTTTTATATATAATTATTAATTCTTTATAAATTACAGATAGTACGTAAAATAAATCAATTTATAAAATCTAAAGGTCATAGTGTACATCCTGAAGTTTTATCCGTACTTTTATCACTTCGTATAAAAGATATTGATCTTGATAAAGAAAAGGAAGAAGAAACAAAACAAAAGAAATTGATGTCTCACAAACAAAGAATCCTTTCGTTAAGCAAACGAGAAAGGAAAAAGAGCAAAAAGCTAGAACAAGTAGAAAAAGAATTACTCGAGACTAAAGCGGAAGAGAATAAACAAACGAAACAAAAAGTTTTCACAGAGATAACAAGCGTGGTATTCACAATTTATTTCCGAATTTTGAAACAAGCTCCAAATAATAAAATTTTGTCAGTATGTCTGGAAGGTTTAGCAAAGTAAGATAAATCGTATACTACTTATACATATTTTACTTTGCTATTAAAATGAAAATTGTCTTCATTTTACATATATATTTTACAATTTTAGATTTGCACATTGCATCAACTTAGATTTTTACCAAGATATAGTAACAGTTATAGATAGATTAATGGAGGAAGGTAATTTAGGATTAAGAGAGCAACTACATTGTGTGCAATGCGTATTTACAATATTATCGGGTCAAGGTACATCATTGAATATTGACCCTTACAGGTATGTATAATTTATTATAATACATAATTAATGAAAAAAAAAATAAATATTATATATATATATATTCGAATTTACATTTTTTACAGATTTTATGTACATCTATATAAAAATCTTTTAAATATTCATTGTGGTAAAACGCAAGATGAAACAGAAATTATTTTAAAAACCTTAATGCAAGTACTTATTAATAGAAGAAAAAGAATTTCTCCTAAACGTTTAGTAGCTTTTGTAAAAAGAATGTCTACTTTAACTTTACAATTACAACACAATGGAGCACTTGGTTTGCTATGTATTATCAAACAAATAATGCAACTTGGTAAAGCAGTAGATGTTTTACTAGATACAGATTATACCAGTGGAGATGGTTTTTATCAACCTGAAATTGAAGATCCAGAATATTGTAATGCACATTGTTCTGCGTTATGGGAGCTCGTTGACCTTCAGGTTCTTATTTTTAGAATGTTTAAAAATTTTTTATGCTTATTCTATATTAATATTTATTTCATATTATGCAGCGTCATTATCATCCTGTAGTTCGGAAATTAGCCAAAAATATAGCATGGAATGTACCTGTAAGTGGTGAAGGAAGTTTAAGTGCAGATGTTGCTAAGCTGTAAGTATACGCATATCAAATAAATAACATATAAAAATAAAATACATTTTCTAGATTTTAATTAATAAAAAATTATTCACTTTTGGTATTTGTAGAACACCAGAACAATTTTATACAGAATATGATCCAACTAGCGTCGCATTTAAACCTCCTGTACTTCCACCTAAGAAGATAATTAATAAATCAAATTCGATAGATTTTTACTATAAAAGTAATGAATTTAAGGAATACATTGACACTATTAAGAATCCAAAATTATTTTCAGATGGATACGTAGATTTTTATAAAATGATTACTGAAAGTTAACATGTCATATATAATAAAACATTTTTATATAATAAATGTGTCTATATTTCATACAATTGTAATGTTTGGATACATTTCAATAAGTTTATTTTTTTATTTTTTATCCTCTTTGTTTTATTAAGCGGTGATATTTATTCAAATCTTATATTGAGATCGATGTATTTTTTTTTAAAGTTTCTGTCTCTATATTTATTCTTTCTTTTTTTCTTTTCCTTTTTTTTTAATCAGAACAATGTATTTTTGGCAAAAATACTTTAATTTATTTTCCTTATGAATAAAATAATAAAAGCATTATTAAAATTACAGTGAATATAATATATCTCCTTTGTTCTAAAAATAGGCTACAGAAATAACGAATATGAAATATCGTTTATTCGCGTTAACACTTTTTAAACAGTAAATTATTATTTCAAATACTTATATACATATATCTAGAATTTATATTGAAAATGTTTAAGCAAGATCTTTAATATTTCTCTTAACAAGTGTTTTTTGTAAAATATGAAATGAAAAATCAAAGAGGAACTAGATTATCTAATTGACTTTACTGTAGGAGAAAATAACATAAGTCTAATATTTTTCCACTCATATCTCTTATAACTTTACAAATGATTAATTTCATCATTTTGTATATCAACGGACATAAGAAATTATAATTAATAAACTTATTGTATTATATGCAATTTTATTTTTAATCCATTATTAGTAAAATGGATATTCATATTTATATGCTATCATTCATCCAAATGCTAAAGCTGTACAAAATATGTGTAATGAAAAATGTGATATACCATACCAAATGCTATATATGTACATAAGATTCGTTTTTACATTATACAGTAAAATATGAAGTTTAGAAATGAAATATGATATTTAATTTTGTTATAAAATATGTAGCGTTAAATGAAATAATGCATGTTTATTACTATATTAAAAAAGTATCATTCTAAAAACGTTTACAATTATTTTCTTTTCTTGTTTAATTGAATATTTTTCCAAATATTTATTGCATTAACAAAGAGTAAATTCGAATGAATGTAATATTATGTACTATTGTACAATTGTACTATGGACAAATACATCTTGACACTATGAAGTTCCAGTCTATATCATTGTTGTACATTCACAGAATATATTTAAAATGTAATATTTTTTTTATGAATTTCCATTAATGTTTAAATTTTCACATTAATGTAAGAAAGATTATTAAAATATATTGTAATTATTTTTAATTAAAATTTCTTTATAAAATCAAATTATGTTTCTTTATCTGTAATCAATGTTATTAGCAATTAATCAATTAATTAATTTATATTAGAAGTTTCTATTAATGACCAATTGATTATGAAGTAATATTGTGCCGATATATTTAACAAGATTATTACGGCCTTGCATACTGTAATATATATTTCAAAATATATATTGATTATGGTATATAAAAATTTCAATTATTTATCAAGTTTAAATAATTGAAATATATTGTGCATAAAAATAATAAGTAAAAACTTTTACCATATATATTATAAATATTTTTTTCAACGTCTTACATTAACTAGAACAGATAATTAAAAATTTAAGTATAGTATGTGATCCGAGATTCATGAACGGATCTATTATAAGAATCAATCAATAATCTTTTATGTACGAAAAATAATATTAGTTTTTTTAATGAATAAAAAATATGCATATACAAAGTATCCTGTAACTGGGGGTGTACTCGAAACATTTTCAAACTTTGTTTCTTAAAAACAAACCTTTATATGAACAAATTTTACTCTAAATTTTCGACTTAGTTTTTAATGTAAAATCACCACCAGCTCACTTATACCATCAGTTACAGACGCCCTGTATTTATATTGGATTAGATAATAGAAAGAGATAAGTATTGAATTAAAAGATACTCGTAAAATTTTAGTTAAAATTCCAATATTTAGTATACACCCATAAACACAAACACAATTTGCCATGGTTGTTTCAGCCAAATCTTATTGACGTATTCTGTGAGTAAAAAATAAGAAGAAAATGTTATGAAAGAACATGCTTAATAATGCTTTTTTTTTAAAATTTACAACAGGAATAAGATTTTCAATGTTACGTTTTTTATAATAATAGTAGAGTATAAAGGTAATAAAACAAAGTATATATTAACTTTTATTGGATTGAAGAATAGGACAAGCTAGGTTTAAATAACTATAAATAAAAATTTTATGAATAATATAAAATTTTTGTAATTATTGTTACAATATTTGGTGCTTGTTTGTGTAAGTTACTAGAAAAGTAATTATTAAGAATAGGAAGCCAAACAGCAATACAGCAATAAAATGATATTACTTAATTTATTATCTTTATACTCGTCTAAAATCATAATTGTAGTTGTATCATAATTTATAGTTTCACTCGCACACACATTCAAGCATTTGGCAGGCAAGAGCCTAATAAAGATAAATCTAATTAGAAGAGAGCAATATCACTACGAAGTCATCATGTCACTGACAGAATTTGTAGATATATTAGGTCCTTTTAGAGCATCATTTATATCTCTTCTAAACATTGATAAATTTTGTGTAAACCTAAAATAAAAATAATAAAAACAATTATATTTTACACAATTTGTAGAACATTGTAATAAATAGAAGAATTCCTTTTAAGAAAAGAAATACACTTAATTTAATTATAATAGAAAAATGTATATTATCATTTACCTATCTCTATTTTTTGTAAGTAAATTTCTTTCAATACCATCCATTAAATTTTCAAACCATTGTGCCATCGCACCTTGTTTATCAACTGGTTGGCTTCTAATAATATTCTCTCGTAACTGATTGAAATACTAAAATATTGAGATTTTTAATACCAAATATATAAAGTATTTATGCTTTAAGATCATATTTTGCTTACTTCTTCATTTAAAAGTATCAGGCCTAATAAAGGACGAGACATGCTCCATTGATTTCTACAATCTTCAAACATTATCACATTTAACACAGTACTTAATATTTGTTGTAGTATTTCAGGATGTTGTTTCAGAACTTCTAAAAATAGCTCTCCTCCACTAGGAACTACAGCATTTTTTCTTCCTGGATAACCAGCCGCTAAGGAAATGTAGTAATCAGGTACAATTTAAATAATATTGTTAATATTAAAGATTAAAAACATACCTTTTTGATACAGTTGTTTGAATAAATACGTCACTATGTGATCAAGAGTTGCACAACAACCAGTACATACCATAGTATCTGAAATAATATTATGTAATCTTAATGTAAATGAAATAAAATACAAAACGAACTATTATAAAATATAATACAAGTACAAAAAGCAAAATACAAAATACATAAAAGTAAAAAGAGCATACATACACACACATACACGCACGCACACACAAGTACACACACACACAACATAACAATTTCAAATTAAAAAAAAAAAAAAAACCGTGTTTTATACATAGCTAATAAATAATATTTTTCTATGATATATTGCATTAATTAATTATAATGTGTTATAATAAAAGCGTTAAATAAAAAAGAAGCATTGCAATGTGTAATATACTTCCAATGATAAAAATAAATAATGGAACATATCTTAAAAATCTATGTACAATTGTTAATGTATTCAGTAATTGTCAGCTGTGCGGCTGACTTGTCTAGACCCATTGTTTTATATAATAATTTAAATCAAATTTTTTTTTCCACGTATAAATGCAGGTAGCAAAATAAGTAGACTTTAAAATTAATTTCTATTATGCAGAATTACATAACGAAAATTCTGTTTATAACATCAAGGGTCTAGATTCTACACACTCCAATCCTCTTATTGCCTCTGTTATTACATTTATTATATATTCTGTATAATTATATTTTCTTTCAAAATTACAGAATGATGTGTATATATGTTTATATTACTCCAAATTTGAGATGTGTATAAGGTTGATTTTCATTCCAAGCAATAATGCAAAAAAGCATATAATAAATCTCAGCAAAAGAACTTCATAATTATGAAGGACTACTATTTAAACTAGAAGCTTGAACATTGTTAATAATTTGAAACAATCTGAAATATATATTACAAAATACGTATTATAAATTTAAATGATATAAATCACATAATCAATAACGAAGTTATCGATTACAAATATTTCAATATACATTATGTTTTTACAATAATTATGTCAATGCTTTAATCTTTTTTTTTTTTTTCATTTTAATTTTACGATATGAATTGTATATTATATTATACAAGGAATTTATGTATTATAAACTTATTCTTTTTATTTGTAACAAAAGCAAAAAGCAAAAACAAAGATCAGTTCAAATAAACGGTCTAGAATTTCGTATTATTGAAGAAAAATATAAACAAATCTAAAACTAAACAGACTAAATAAATATATAAAAAAAAAAGTATGTAAATTTGGATAATCTGAAGTAATTAATATAATAGTTTAAAGACATGGCATAGAGGATATAGAGGGTAGTTGTAGGATAGAATCAGCCACACAGACCTGTGTAGGAGTCTTTTTGCGCACCTAGTGCTGTAAGGCCTTCACTGATACTTGAAAGGATATATAAAAAAACTCTTGGTTCTAACGTTGAAAGGAAAACCATATGATCCTGTGCCAAATATTCAAGTAACACGTAATATGTAGCTGACAGTTTTGGATAATCCTATTAAAAACATCAATGAGAAAAATATGAACAGTTTATGAGTATTTTTAAATATCTTCTATTAAAATATAAACATATAAGAGAAAGTAATACATACCAAAAGATCACTTTGTGGTATACTGAGAAGTAATTTCACAAATGTATTAAGTGCATTATCCAATGCTTCATCTCCATAGAGCCTAAAGACACCAAAATTTACATAACTACCACAAAGGGCTGCTTTTAACATACTGAAACATATGCTAATCCCTTTTAATTTCAAAGGATAAATCTGATCTTTGGGAACATCAATATTCAATATATGATTTCCATAGCTACATATCACTTTACTAGCTTCACGAAATAATAAAATTCCATTTGGGGAAGATGCATCAAATTGTAATCGTTGACTTCTATTTAATACTAATTCAGCAAATAATTTCAGGACGGGTGTAGTTACTTGTGGCTCGTGATGCCACAATTCCACAGCATGTAATAAGATGGGTGTATAATTGGGATATCTAAACTAAATTTAGGAACAATATTTTTATAAAATATATAACATATATATAGATATATACTAAATAGTTGCTATAAAAGGATACATCCAATCAAAAAGCATCATATAAGACGTTTTAGTTGTGAATGCATATGCTATACCCCTGAGATCTCTTGCTACACCAATCAATGCTTTTTTTGCTTCTTCTGCTGCAAACAGTGGAGTATCAGCAGCTCCCATTAGCTGACCAAGACTTTCCAATGCAGCTATAATAATGGAAATAAATATTATCTCAAGTCCAATTTAAATTAACCCCTTGGCTTATAATCTCGAGTCTGACTCGAGAGCCGTGATGCCGTGAGCTGTGATACCGTGTAAGCTAAGGGATTAATTGTATTACTCATTTTATGTAATATAAATAATGTATACCTGTGAGTGGAAGCATAAAGGTATGAAACCTTTCTTCATCTTCACCTAAATCCACCATTAACAATCTACCCAAAGATGTATAAAACATCGATCTGCAGCGCATTTCTGTTACAGCAACATTATTCCCCAAAAATGGAAAATGTTCTCTCTATATGTCAATGATAATGACATTATATTTTTTGGCCATATCATTTTTTTTAAATCTCATATGATGCAATACTTACTGTATGATTATTTAACATAAATTGAACTTCTTCTAACTTAACAAGTTTACGAACACAACTATATCCAACAGAAAGATCATTTAAAAGTTGTAAAGTTTTCGAAATAATTTGTTCGCTTCTTCCCCAATATTTCAAATTTGTTATTCTGAAAGTTTTGATACATTTATATATCATATAAAAAATATGCTCAAATGTAATCAAAATGAAATATATTATGGTTAATATTTAAGATCCACGCATTGGATTGGATTGTCCAGGCATGGATTCTCAATATTGACAGTAACATATACCCACACACTCATACGTACATACACAAAAGTACTTACATTTTACGAATGAATATACTGAGTACCATGGCTTCATCATTGAGGCCTAAAACATCCGACAGTCTTCTGTATACTTTGGAATTTTTCTGTACCTGATCACCTACGTATATTTTACGAAACTGTTCAAAAAAACTTAACATTGCTAGCTCCAACTTTTCGCAACCACCTTGTCCAAGTCTAGAATCTGTAAGATTCATTAATTGAAGAACTCTACAAACAAGTTCACCATCCATCGCGTCATATTCCTCATTGCTGTTAAATGTAACTCTTCCACCAATAACACCACCTAATAGTATAAAAAATAAACATAATAAATAATTATATAATTGTACATTTATCAAATAAAATATAAATGTTAATTATACCTATAATATAAACAAGCCACGTTAATTGTCCTTCTTGGATACTTATATCAATTTGTTGGGTTGATGATGCTGTTTGTGACATTAATTCTTGATACGTTGTTGCTGCCTGATCAAATAATTGAACTAACAAAGCACAAGTTTTTTGATATTCGCATCGTCCTATCACTGAAATTTGTTCTAACTGTTGATGAAGTACGCCCAAATCATCAAGCGGGTCTTCCAAACGTTCTCTAACTACCACTGCTACAGATTCAAGTCTTGATGTAATATATACATTCGCAATTTCAGGAGTATATGTATTTAATAAATGCGGATCCCCTGCTTTTACATATGGCATAGATGATACCATTCTTTGCCAAAGAGTTAAAAGATAATGTAAACTATTTGGTGCAAACTGCCACATTCGCAAGCTTTGAACTGTAAACTTAGCGATTAATTGTATTGCTTCTGGATAGTCTTCTACTAAGACTAATTCTCCAAGTTGGAAATTACTTTTCAACCGAGATAGTAATCTACAAAATTCATGATAATTTCCAGGGTCACTAAGACCCTGTGGGTTTTGTAATATATGTTTTACTCCATCAACTAAATGACTTAAGAACTTAGCTCTTTCTGTATTAGAAAATAAACTTCTTCTAACAGATGCTATCTGAACTAGGCAGGACAGAGCTAAAGATGATAATGAGCTTGGCAAATTATGGTACAAATCAAAGAAAAGCTTTAACGATGTGAAATCCAAAAATGCAGGTCTCCAACTTGTTGGTATCTGAACTGTACTTAAATCATCAGTACTTTCATCCGTAGATGTTCCAATAAAATCAAATGTTAAACAATTTTGTGCAAGCTTTAGGAGTTGTCTCATCAGACCATGCTAAATAAAAAAACACACGAAAACATATAAGCATTAAAGATTCGATAGTGATTTGACTAATTCGTATGAAATATTTAAATGAATAACAATTTAACTTACCTGTGCTTCATTATTGAAATTTAAGCTTTTACAATTTTCTCGTGCTGTACTTAATAAAGTACAAGAAAGCCTAAATATTTCAAAAAGTTGCGAATCCCTGAAACTACTAGCAATTCTTCTATGTTTTGCAAGTGACCTGTTTGCATCAACATCTGATATCTGATTCATTTCACACGTTAATTGAGAGAGCAATTGTACACCTATCATGCAATGCTCTACTGATCCCTGAATTATATAAAATGAAATATTAAATTATATTATACAATTTAACAATAAATAATATATATATATACTATACAAAAATTTCTTTTTGTAAAAACTTGTTCAAACCTGTAGAAATTTTGTTATATCACCAACAACATTTCTGAAAACATATTCTTCTTTTTCCACATCAAACCAACCAAGTTTTGATATCCTAGCGAACAGTGCAACCAAAGCTTGTATCACAAAATTTGGAAGCTTTGGTTGAGTCGCTAAGTAGTTAAGAACATAATTCCCTGCATATTAAGTATCATATAAAAATATTAATTTATGAAGTGTATATCAAAGTTCTTAATTAAAGAAATATAATATCAACAACAAATAATATCATATAAGTATGAAATTCTTACGTATATCCAGCCTCTGCTGTAAACTAAGTCCTTGCGCTGAGCGAGAAATCAATTTTGTTAAGGTGGTAGCAGCCAATAACTGAGCATAAGCTGAATCTCCACGATCCAGAAGTAGCTGGCACTTAGTAAGCGTATCCGGTGCATTTTGAAAAGCTACAAGGGCTTTTTCTGCTTCAGCACGATGTGCAGAATCCTGTGACTCATACAATTGCTTGCAAAGCAATTCCAGCTGCCGCACTTCCTGTATGTGATCCATTCTTAATGACACTATTTATACTTGGATTTTAGTATTTCCATTTAAATATGTCAACTCTCTAAATTGCAAGGTCATTATATTCACTTTTGAAGAATTTTAGCACTATGTTTACAGTCAATGTTCAAATTTGAAGATAGATTTTAAGAATATAGCTGTTGAATCTGTTTAAAAATGATAATTTCCACTTTATATAGAAAATTAAATGTAACTATTTTCTCTTGCTTCCTTATAAATTAATTTTACAATGAAGTACTGATAAATATACAAAATTAAATATTTCTCTTGATTTAGGAAAGAAATAAGTTTATTGTAAGTATTATCAAAAGAAATTAGACTTTTTATTCCTGCAATATAAAATTTTCTTTTAAAATTTTTGTTTTTAACACATATAATATTTTAATTTAAGTTTTCACAATTATTATAAATTCCACGATTTCATGAATAGAAAAATAAAATAAAATACTGGTTATGAATAATGATTATTATTATTATTATTATTAATATTATTATAGTGCTAAAAAATAATAATTATTGATAATTTACTAAATCTAACCCCAATTTATTGTCCAAATATTTATAGCTGTAAATGATAAACTAAATACACTGAAACGTGATAAAAATACTATTATTTTAATTTAAATTCATATACAGAGATATCGAGAATTGTCAAATAATTATAAAAAACCTAACGTAAGTACTTTCTTAAGTACTTTCAAAATTGTCATAAACTTCAAAACAGATACACACGACATTATAGGTTATAGCGAAGTTGTAAATAACAAAATTAAAACAGTAGACAAATCTTAAGTATATATCTACTTATAGTAGAATTATATTCTGTTAAAACTATGAAGAAATTGTTTTGAATCACTTTAACAGAAAATAATAGTATAATTTACAAGAAGTTAATAATTAAAATAAGTTATCAAACAACTAAACAACCACCGAACGTAATAAATATATAAACTGTAATCTTTCTCTTTCTTTCTTTCTTTCTTTCTCTCTCTCTCTTCTCTTTCTCTCTCGCTCTCACACACTATTCAAGTCCGGCATTAAAGAGGTTATGGCGTTTTAATGGAGATTACATGACACATTTGTATAAAATAAATGAAAAATAATAAAACGCTTTAACTCTCTTAACAATAATCAAATGCGAAAATACTACAAATGAAATCATATATTTCATTTCGTCGATTATCTTGGTAGATACGAGTATTTTCTTCGTATAAAGAATAATATTTATTCACGAACTTGCAACAAAAGAATTCAACACATCCCAGATAATGAATCGATTATATACGAGATATATAATATTAAAATAACACAGGAAAGATGAAAAAAAAAATGAATAACTTCGACGCGTTATGTTTTCATTAATAGCGGAGTTATTAATTTGTTAAACACTTTCGATTTCGGCAACAAACGTTGTGTAGGTCGAAAGATCGTCTTATAGCTTCACCGCGTTTTAGACACGTTCTATTTATGCACATTGAGAACTGCACAAGTTACAACGGATTTACCATCAACTGTTTAACACACGATTTAAGAGCCGCCTTGTCGTAGATAACTTCCTCGTAATTCGAAGTTCGCACGTTATTTTGATCGGCAACTCACCTGTTCATCGGCCATTTTCGTAGCTTCGCATTATCTACAATGAAGGCAGGATCACATGCATGTTGATTCCTCTACGGCGCAGTATGTTACGGGATTAGCAGAAATATGTGGGACTCGGAAGGACTCTTCCCGCCATCTTTGATTCACTCAGTGAAATACTATTTAATGAAAAAACTAGACATTTTATTTTCATCATATTTTTATCCTTACTTTTATATATTTTTCAATTTTTATTTTAATCGCATTATTTTATTTACATATACTTTTTCTAAGAACTTTTATTCCTTTTTTCATAAATAAAAAATAGTCAAAAATACAACTATTTAATATATCACAAACAAACTACTTACGTATTGCAACCAATGACGATGAAAAAATTATATCATTGACCAATAAAAATATGACTTGCAATAATCGTATTGTTTGAACAATATTTGTGTGTGTGTTCTACTTTAAAATTATTTTGAATAAATATTTCTAGATACGATTATTTAAAAAGACTAATAAATTTGAATATCACAATATCAAATTGAATTCTTCGTGTACATTTTAAATTATAAAGCTTATTAAATAGATGTTTATAAAAAAAACCTGTAATGTATGGATGAAAAAAAAATTAAATGTTAAAAATATATCTATTCTGTGATTAAGAGGTAGTAATATGTGTAATATAATTGTATATATATTTCAACTCATATATATACATATATGAGACGAGAAATTAATATTTTCAAAGTTATAAACAATTTCTTGTTTCATTTAAATTATCTTTCTCTCTACGAATACATTGCCGTAACAGCAGTTAAAACAGTCTTAGATGTTCCTGAATTTCAATGGCGTATTCCAAATAAATAATTTTACTAAAACGTTGATATAATTTCTCGAATAATGAATGAAAAAGTATTTTTCGACTTTTATTTTCGACTGGGATATTTTTCTGTGGTAAATTGTCATGTTATTGTAATACGTTCATAAACAATTCCATAAAATGAAATACATTTCTGCCATTTTTTTTATTGAAATAATATTCTGAAAAATTGTCTATTAGCTCTGTAATTATTTATTAGAATACCTAAATAATTTTCTCAAAAAAAAAAAAAAAATCTGATATTTTCAAACTTATTATTTTCGAAAATAAAACCCTTATATAAATAAATTTTATTCTAAATTTTCAACATAGTTTTTCATGCAGATTCATCTTTTGTTTGCTTGTACGACCAGTTACAGGAAACCCTGTATATATAAGTAAAAAATATTACTTTTTATAGTATTTTTCTCTAACTATTCAATCAAACTATTAAATATTACAGTCAATAGTAATGAAAAGATTATATCCCTGATCAATAAAAATCAAACTCAATATAATTGCATTAAAAATATTATTCATATATATATATATATAAAGTAAATAATTTTTGTATGCAAATAATATTTCTTTATATTATAAAACATACCTGTTTCCATAAGATTCTGAAGTATCAAGTGTAAAGCTTGACATTAATGAAGTATCGTCAGATTTGGGGTCTTAATAGATTGAATTTGTATCATACTTTCTTTTGAACAATTCTCTGATTGTTACAGATAATATCATGAATAATATTGAAATATATGTTACATGAACATCTTAGTAATAATGTACAAATTGGTATGACTGATATAGCAGCCTAAGAAAAATATGTTTATCATTTTAAGGGTATTTTCTATGTTTTCATGTATCTCATTGATGAATAGCTATTTCATAATTATCTTGATTCTTAAATAAAGTAACTTTAGCAAGGTAAATGTTAATTTTTACATGTCAAGTAGCATAGCTATTCTATTCATAATCAACTTTTATTGTACATACACATAAAACTTGGCAAAAAGATGAAATAACACAAATGATAATCGTCTAAAAAAAATCGACGAGAGAGAGGAACTGTACCGTGCAGCATGTTGACTAGTTCTAATGTAAAACAATCCATTTTGCACAGTATTTGTAGTAGTGCTCATAAACTTTATACAATTGCATAAATATTTTTCTTTTTCTGTTTTCATAATTTTTTTAAGCATACAGAATAATTACAAATAATACAGATTAATCTGTATTACATGTTATCACGGCATGCTAAATTTCAATTATTTTTTCCCAAAATGTGTATAGATTATTAATATTATTATAAATATCATTAGAGCGAATATTATAATTTTGTTACTTTAAATGTACAGTTATTCATTTGCATATTCTTGTGCACATATATTATTATCTCATCGATAGTAATAATTCAAGCTATATATTATTTTACTATCATATTAATTCTTTTTTTTTTAGGAAGAGAGAAGAGAAATTTAACATATTTTATTAAATATTTAGTTTTGTTGTTTTTTACCTTTTCAGGTATTCCCTTATCTTTTAGGCTTTAATAATTTGGCAAGATATTTGAATACCTATTAAATATTTAGTAGGTTTTTTTTTATAATTTGTGTATCTCTGATATGTTTATATGCTTGTCTTTTTCAAAGGGATGACAATAATAGAAACTACTTCTTATTAAAATTGTCTCATCCAGTTGTGTACGTATTATATTTTGAATATAGCTTTTGCACAGCCTTCATTTCATTTCCACTTAATTAAATTTGCATACATGAAATATCATGTTAATATTAATAATAAGCATCACAATGTTTTTTCTTATAGATATTTCAACATCTTTACTTCCACTTTCTATAAATATATAAGTTATAATCAAGCTATAGTACTGTAAGTGCAATGATTTTGAAAATTAAATTAAAAAGAAAAAAAGAAGAAATAGAAAAGAAAGAAAAAAAAAATGAATCCCTTAATTACTACTATAATGAGTTATGTATTGTCTAAGAAACATTTGGCTCTGTATAAAGTATTCTTAATAATATTATTAAATAAATTTCATCTGAAAATAATTTATTAAAGGATTCTATATTTGCTTAGTTAATTATAATGACTTTATTCATTGAATGGTTTAAGATCCCAATTTAAGTAAAAGATACACTTGTACCAGTTAGCAGGAAAAAGTAGTTATAGTTTTTCATAAAATCTACATATGTGCATTCATAGACAGCAAAACTGTAATATAATTGGGCATGTGCACACAAAGAATATGTTAAGAATTGATAAGAATTTCATTCTATATCTCTACAATTTACATTTGACAAAAATTTGGAATCCATTAAATATTTATAAAAGTATAATTTTACACTGTTATCCCTGTATATACATATCCCCGTATATACTTACGGTGTTATATATAGAAAGTTTTCCCATATTATCATTCCTAGCTTTAACATCACAATTTTTTGTACCCAATTTGGCTACATGCTGTTACGTTTGCACGATAAGAGCTATTATTCGAGAAAATATCGTATGTATCCGTTTAATATTCTTCATTATTATTTAATGAGTATATATATATATGCATGTATGTATATAATTTTACATATATATATATAAGATGCAAAATCCAAAGTCATGTATTAAATTAATATCAGAAATTACTTGTGTATAATAAGCTTCGGGTTCCTTTTTTTGAACATTATAAAAATTACAACAAGATCAAAATATCTCATCTCTGCCATGTGGAATTACGTACCAAAATTTATACATTATTACATTTTATGACAACCTGGAAAACAAATAATTTTCTTTTTATGGCTTAATAAGATCATATATAAATGTCTACATGCAATGTTGTATTTCTATCAATCATTATAACAAAAATCATCTATTCAATATTGGATGTAAGCCTAAAATTTCATTCAAGAGCAATACTGCTGTAGAGAAATTTTTTAAATCAATAAAATAATTTCAATATTTAATTCGAAGAAATATCATTAGTATACATTTAAACACACAACATAAAAATTATGCTCTATCCGAGATCAATAATCAAGTTACAATAACTTTTTTATAGCAACTATAATAGTTTTAGAGGTACTACAGTTGCCTGTACGAATATTTACATCTTTGTTCATATATACCGAACGTAATATTTTAAATGCAAATAACATTTTACCACGTTGCGACGAGGAAATAGTTGACTTTTACCCATTTTTAAAGTAATATGAATATTGCAAAATAATAATATCTACACCGAAAATAAAAAAAAATAAAATTATCCTTCTATACATTTAATTCTTGATGTTATATATCAGTGTTATTTAATATGATATAGCGATTCGCCTTAGCTACCCTTTGAAAGTGATGAAACATAATAATTGTCATAATTATTTTATGAAGTTGCATTTTCACATTCACACAAAATAAGTATCCTGATCAGATAACAGTTTACAATTTTCTTAGCATAAATTAATTATATAAAAAAAATCATTAATTTACTATAATACATCTAATATCTTATTAAGTGTATCCAGCCTCCCTAAAACTTTTTCATTTTGTTGCGTGTTTCAAGTCTTTTTTTATAGTAGTAAAATGGTCAACTTCTATCGTATCATGGAGCGTAGAAGAAATCCAGATATGGCCATAGTAGACGGCAAATCCATGGGATGTATTTATATGATTTTAATATACTGTTCATTACTAAACGCAGTGTGTTTGCCTTAAGCGCATATAAATTAATTAATATTTTTATATAAGTCAGTACATATCTCCTATCTTAAGAGAATTTCTTTTGCGTTTCACTGCAAATAACAAACCAAAGTCCATGATTAAGAGTTTTTGGGATGTTTAGGTCTGTTTAGGCGCTGTTCACACTGGACACTGATTCTTTGTCTTGTGTACACTATCGTGAACACATTCAATTCACTCACTAACCACTTTTCTGAAACAGAACAATGCTATTATTTCATAGATCTCTTTGAATAAATGAGATTATGAAAAACATGTAAAATTATCAAAAAAAATTTATTGTTAAAGCCTGTGAAGTTAGTATATTATTTTTTTAAATTGTATAAATGAGGTAGACAAAGGATAAGATATTTCTCTTATTCTTACTCTTAAATGAGTGCGTATAATATATGTGTATGTATGGTTATAAAATCTATTATAATTTGATCAATTGACATACACTTACAATTATATCACAATAAAGGAATCTTCTTGTTGATGAGTCACTCAAATGCTGTTAAAAAAAGAAACAAAATTTTAATGTTTGAAAATAAAAATATATTTATTTTTCAATATAAAAATTAAATTTAATTACACATACGAGAAGGAGATCTGGTACCGGATTGATTGGCAGCTAAAGCATTGACTGGTACTTGACCGGTAGACACAGATCCATTTGATGGATTAAAATTGAGGAAATCCCAAATTAGTATCGTGTCATCGTGCGATGATGATACTATTTGGAATTCATCAAATTGAAGACGAAATACACGCCCAGTATGTTCCTAAATTCATACAAAATTCAATATGATTACACGCATGTATATATACATATTAAATATAAATACAATTATAATATTATGTAAGAAAAAATGAATTATATACCAGAATAATAAAATTTTAATAAAGACCTTACCACTAATGTACGCAGACATAAAGTGTTTGCAAGTGCACGCGGATCTAATGCAGCTACCAAATCCCATACTTTAATTTTTCTATAACATAAACGAGACAACATAATGTGAGCATCATGAGTGGTCAATAATCTTTTCTGTTATTATATTTTAAATTTATAGAAAAATATGTTAATATCTATTAGTACTGCAGAGATGATAACACAAACATATATACGTACCCATCATATGCTCCACTAACAATATGTTTACTGTCAAATCGTATACATCTGACCAATTCTTCATGACCTTCTAAAACACGTAAACATGCTCCACATTCAATGTCCCACAATCTAATAGTGTTGTCACTGCTGCCACTCACGACTAAACGATCCCTATACTGCAAACACGCTATACCCCGTTTATGTCCATTTAACGTTCGTACGAATTCGCAGGTAGATGTATTCCATACTTTAATAGTCCTATCACCACTAGCAGAAACGATATATTTTTCATCAAAATCAACTACATTCACTGCTGCTCTGTGACCCACAAGCACTCTTCTCAATGCAATTTCCTTCTGCGATGTCATATCCCAAACTGCTATTGAACGATCCTATACAATAATAAATATTTATAATATTAACTGTATCTAATTAAAAATAATATATAATAGTTTAAAATATGTTCAGGCAAATAATATTAATACTAACCTTAGAACAAGTGACCATCATACCATTATTAAATCTGAGATGTAGTACAGCTTCGCAATGATGTATCAATGTACTAACCATTTCACCTGTTGTCGCATCCCATACTCTTACTGTACTATCCGAAGAGCCTGATATTATGGCTTTGTCATCATATTGTAAACACAGAACAGAACCCGTGTGACCAGTCAACACCTTAATACATTGTAATGTATTTCTATCCCAAATTTTGATAGTATTATCTCTTAATCCAGAGACTATTTTTTGGTCATCATATTGTAGACAGTAAACGCCTTTTGAATTTTCACTTCTGCAGTTTATTCTTTGAAGATTAAATCTACCCATTCTCCAATTATTATCTATACTATCAATATCTTTAACAATCTTAGGATAAAGATTTCTGTAAAAGTTATGATTTGGATGACTCTCTCCTGGTCGAGGTTTAAACAGATATTGTATCCTACGCAAGGAAAAAGATAAGTATACATTAATACCATAATTGTATAAAAAGCAATAAACTATCAACATGTATATTTTATTCCTTTGGAAAGTGTCTAATAAATCGTAAATATCTTAATAAAAAAATACTCACCATCCTCTCCTTTCAGCTAGACCCCGCCATACTGAATCTGTCCTGACTTTACGTTCAATTAATTTTTTCCAAAGCATTCCTTCGCTGATAACTCTGTGCCATTCTTTGCAAACTAATTCTGCAGCTGTCAATGACTCGGCGTCCAAATATGAAAGAATACTCTCTGCCACATGATCTAATCCTTTTTCTGATTAGATTTGTTAAATTACATATTACATAGATATTACAACTAATTTATACCAATATTAGGTACAATAGATAAATAAATAAAATCATACATACTTGGCAAAAGAGAAATAAAATCTCTTTGAAGCATTGGTTTCAGATACGCATTAATGTGACCATGTTGATAATGACACATACGTGCTAATAATTGTTCAACAAAGTGCACTTGTTCTGGTTCACTCCACTTTTCAAACAATTTCATACATATTTCTCTTTCTTGTCCAAACTGTGGTGTCACACCAATAGAAGGTTCTTTCTTACGAGTTGGATCATAGAGAATCGTCATTGGAAACTGTAACTAAATATGCATAAAGAATAGATTTAAAAATGTGCTTGAAAAGAAATCATCTAGATTGATAATTAAATAATATTATTCATAATGCAAATGCACATTCATGATATTATATAAAAGATAGAATCGTATATAATCTCAAAAACATTTCCCATCAATTCATCGAGAGAGAAATTTTTATAATCTCATTGTCACACACATATAATTATACAAGAAAACAAATTAACGTACATACATAGTAAAATTGTGAATCGATTATCAAAATAGTATTTATTAAAAATCATAATAATTTAGATGTTAAAAATCTCGATTTAATAGTTGTAACATTATTTGCTTTAGATTTGATTACGTGACCTTACGTTGCCATTTCACGTTTGCCTTGACAACCGTCTTTTACCTTACACATATTACTACCCAAGCGTATTGACGACGAGAGGTTCGAATGATATGTATCGTATAAAAATTAAAATCGTTTAAATCGTAAAAAGCTATCTAATGTTTAATATAATAAAATAAAATATAACAACAAATGGAAAATTACTAGCCATTAAGATATAATATTATTGAACGAATAAACAATTATTATAACGGTGTTTATGATAAAATGTGGATATTTAAATAAAATAAATTAAATTAGTCTCTCAACATTCTCGTTCAAAATATAAATTCTATTTATGTATTTTCAAAGACGTAATATTCGATTAACAATCAAATAATAGAAATAATAATAATAGAAATGCACCAATTCTCTTACCTATATAACATTATAAAATATATAAAATCTATATATTATTGAAAAAATATATGCGCATAGGAAAATAGAGAAGAAGGAATTAAATAAATGCTTAGTTACACAAAGAATAGCCGCGCAGCACGGCACACTGAGAGATTTGACCGTTTCATCTATACTTTCACCGCACATGCACGCGCACTCCCACAAAGAATATCTTTTGTCCTTACGAACCTATATAACGTCGTTTCATATTTACTTACAACATAAATATGATATACATATATATATATTTCTCATTTTTCTCAGCGATAAGTAGAATCGACTTTCGTCAACTTTCTTTATCTAATTATAAAATTTAACTTTTATCTTTTTCTCTATCTTTTTTTAGTCGATAAAGAATCGATGCGTCATTAAAATATGTGAATCATTAAATGTATATATACTATCAATCAATAATATATATTTGCCTGATAATTGACTTTGTTGACACAGTGTTAATTAAATTGAACGAATAATGTAATTATTAAGATAAAAACCATTTCAAGTCATTTTATTGGAACTTACATATATACAGGATATCATATAACTGGTGGTACAACTTACAATTAGTAGAGAGTTATTCTATACATGATAAAATATAGAATAAAATTTATTCATTTAAGACTTTTTTTTGTTTCCAGAAAAAAATGACTAGAAATCTATTCACCATCAGTAAAGATCCACACTCAATTTAATCTCTATTCAATGAATTTTATTTATTGTAGACTATTTTTATTCGTGTTAATAAACGTTATTAATATTTATAGATAATTTCAAATGGCTCAAATAAGGACAACATAAAATATAAGTAACTACTTTTATGGAATTTCATTATTTCAAAAATTGTCAAAAATTCATGCATACTAATAAGAAGATTCAAAATCATTTCCCCTATTCGATTGTACCACCAGTTAGATGATACTTTATGTATACAGTGTAAAATAGAAGAATTTATTTCGTGAAATAATATAAGTATCGATCTGAAATTACGTTAGGTCAGCAGGTCGTGTGTATGAAAGTGCACGAGGGATCGTCGACCTTTTAAAAATCGTCCTACCTTCCCGCGTCTCGCACCTTTCCTTTGCATACAACCTGATTGGTGGTTGATTACTCAAAATAATTACCATATATACAACAAAATTAATGCTTCCTAATTTTTAATTTATTTATTTCATTTCAATCTGTTTTAGAAAACAACATTTTTCACGAATGATAACCAAATACTTCAGTTTAATCTTATCAAAAGTTACCACAATAAGTTAAGAAAAAACTCTAAATAAAAAAAAATTCTAGGTTAAAGTAGTATATCTTAATATCTTTATGGAAAAAACTAATCAACTAGTGCGTTCTTTATTTCGATATATCTGGATATTCATACATAATTCGTTCTATATAATTTGATATAACTTTAATAAGAGAAATAATCATTTGCATAACACAATAACGAAGTATCCAGTTGCTTAAATATTGCATAAAACTCTGTGTGTGTGTATGGCTAGCAAAAAGATGAATAAAATTAAACAAATTATAATATAAAATAATATTCTACAATTTCAAATATAAGTTTAATAAAACTGGTTTGGATGTAAATTTTGTAATGATAGGACAATGATCAATATGTCTTTATTATTCCTATTTATGATAATGGTTTAATAAATTTTATCTATTTTTTTTCTAAAAATTTTAAGACTATATCGAAAAATAAAAGTGAGTTTGACCGAGAAAAGAAAACCATTGTTTCTATGCTAAATTCAAAACTTTTTAACCCACCTACGTATAAGATGACATAACTAGAGCTACACATTTTTAAATCAATAAAAAATGAGTTATTTGTTTTTTGGTTCAATGTTCATACTTATTGGTATTAATGTAATTAACGCACAATGGAATCATGCACGAAAAATGATATCGGTCAAATAGTCACCTTGGTTCCTGCTACAAATGACAACTTTTTAAACACTAGATATACCACCATTTTCAATATACCTACTTCTACCACACTAGTTGAAATGACTGGTGTATAAAAAAAATGCTTTTTGAGGCTTCCAGTTTTTATTTACTCTTAAAAAATAACAAAAAATGTTTAACAATAATAATTTTAATAGATAAATGAATTTATAGATATTTTTAAATAACAAAACGCTTAATTATTTACAGAAATCAAATGTTACATGAAGTAGAAATTTTGGATTAAAATGACTGCTCTGGTATATCTAGTGTTAATAAAATAATTTCAATAACGCGCGGGCAGCGCGGATTCAAATTGCAGTTCTAGTTATGTCAGCCGAGATGTGAACAAATGAAATTAATAAACGAATATTTGTATTATTTATTTCTTCAGTATGAAATCGTTCATGTTGATTATTTCCGAGTTGCTGCTGCTGAATAGTCATTCTCAACCATAGTATAACGAAGGAGAAGAAAAAGGAAGAGGAGGAGGAGGAAAAGAAGAAGAAGTCTAGCGACAAGAGACAAGAGACAAGCGTAGAGTTCTCAATTGCCTGAAAATGCTACAAGTGCTCCCGACCTAACGGTACAGCGAACTCGTGTCGAATCTACGCGTTCCTCCGGCTCTTTTGTCTTTGCGCGTACCTTTACAAAAATTCTTAAGAGCACCGTCTCACAAAACAATATGTATATTATATATACAATGAGCATGACACACACACACACTCATCCGTTCATCCATTCGTATATACTTCACATATATATCCCATACAAGCTCTATGTCCTACTTGATCAATATGTGCGATTATTTTCTTTATTGCTTATCCCCGTTATGTTTGGATGAATCAGTTATACAATTTGAACAATAAAATACTATAAGAACATCACGATTAGAATTTTATTAATACGTAATCAATAATTTATTATTTTCTTAATGGTCAATAAGAAAATTTTAATATTTTTTATCATCGATAATCATTAATTCTGTATACACCTATATATATATATATATATATATATATATATATGCAGTAGGAATATATTTCCATACTTGTGCCAACTATACAAATTCTTAAATGTATAACACATATTAATGACGTGCATGTGTGTGTCTATACATACAAAGGAACAGACAAATTGAAAATTAGACATAATTATGACATAATTGAATAAATCGAGTTAATTACGGAATAACCTACTGTCACAATTATTATCTTGAAGTGATTGCAATTCGTTGCATTTTTTTGTATTTTCATTTGATTTCTAACACGTTTGACTGTAATAATATTTTATCAAATAAAATACATCATATCAAAGTTAAAACGAACGTCTTGGCTTACAAAAAAAAGACAATAAAAGGAAAGGAGAAATACTTCCGCATCCTCAAGGTTATACTAACAAAACGATGAATCATTTTTTTGGTCAAATGTATGCATGGTCCTTACGATTAGTGCATTTATTTTTGCTTCTAATAAAACAAACAATGTATAACGAAATCATTAACACTAGATGATATACCAGACCAGTCATTTTGACCGGTCGGGCCATTTTAATTCAAAATTTCTACTTCACGTAACATTTAATTTCTGTAAATAATTAAGCGTTTTGTTATTTAAAAATATCTATAAATCCATTTATCTATTAAAAATATTATTGTTAAACATTTTTTGTTATTTTGTAAGAGTAAATCAAGACTGGAAGCCTCAAAAAGCATTTTTTTGTATACATCAGTCATTTTGACTAGTGTGGTAGAAATAGGTATACTGAAAATGGTATATCTAGTGTTAAGTTTATTCAGATATTTTTCTCACATGAAAAACAATTTTCTTAAAAGTAATATTTCCTTCTCTTATTTATTATATCACGAAGAAAAAATTTCATTTCAATGATGTAAAGAAATGTCCGGATTATAGTCTTTAATAAGTATATAAGTATCTCTTTTAATAGTTTAAATTATCGAATGAATAGGCAAACAATTCGTCCATAACACGAATGGGGAAAAAGAAAACAGGACGTTATCTTTTAAGAACGTTAAAGATATGATGAAAAATGGTGGTAATAGATTACATAGGGAACATATGACGAAGTATAAATAAACATTGATTATGCACATAAGTTGTTCGTAAATTTGAGAAATCACAGTGTAAAATAAATACACCCAAATGAGAGATAGACAAAGAATATGAGAAAGAATATTTATTGATTGTTAAGATTGAAATTTGCACGTTTTGGTACTTTTTGACAGTATCGGTCATTTTGCTGAAAAAGAAAAAAAATAGAAACGTCAACCGACAATTTTCGTTTATCTGTTGATAAAATAATCATCAAATCCTTTTAAATTCTGTCATTATGATACATGCGCTATGGTGACAAATATACGTGGGTGGTTGGAAAAGTTTTGAACTTTATAGTTGTTTTATTATATATTTCAATTGCAATTTGTTATTATATAACATTTAGCAATTTAGATGACAATATAAGTTGTTGACAGGATCAAATTCATCTATATTTTTCGACATAGTTTTAAAATATTTTGAAAAGAATAGGTTATATACAAACTTTTCACAATCCATTTTTGACAAAAATCAATGAGCGTGAATTTACAATTAGTACGTTTTTTTTTAATAAGTTTTATCCGCACAACATATTTTGTAAATATTATTTTATTGAATAATATATGATCTAACTTTATTTCCTTTTTATATATTATATATTACTAGGTAAAATAAAATAAAATATAATAAAAAATATTGTGTACGTAAAACAAGTCAGAAAAAGTAGGAAACTTTTGGGGTTATTTAATAAAAATCAATTGTCTTTTAAATTACCAACACTTTTTTGTGATTTATGAAACATATCTATAAAAAGAATAAAATCTTGAGTTTTAATCGCACTAATAACTAAAACCAAATAAAATCATCTGACAGAAATTAATTAAAAGATTATTTATTCCCGCTTAGATGTGGGCGCACACACCTATGAATTAATTTACTGTTGCACCGATTATGCAATATGAAAAAATAAAATACGACTGATAATTATAGGAAATAAAAAACAAAGTTTTATAAACAATTGTATAAATTTGAAGAATACAATCTTTGAACATTTTGTTTTTCTTGAATCATTGATTGAATTAAATTAGAGAGAGAATGGATAAAACGTCTCTGATGACAAATGTTTGAAATCAAATTATTTCAAAATGAATCAATAGTATATATTTTTATTTGCAATATCGATAAATGCGATAAGAAAAGTATCGAATGAAACTATATCATTAGTTTTGTTAACAAAAAAAAAAAACAAATAAATAAAAATAATTTATAAAGAATGATTCATAGAAATTGTCAGAGATAAACGACAGAATATATTGAATAATATAGGTTTCCCTGTTTGAGGACTTTAACAATAATAGAATAAACAATATAGGAGAAAACGAAGTTATATAAAATAGACCAATAGGATAAAGTTTAATAGAAAGGGAGAGCTTATTGATCGTATCAGCTCATAAAAAATGTTCTCACATTGACATAACTCTACGGATGGGATATATCGACAAACGATCAAACATTTTTTTTTTGACTTTTGATAAATGTAGCTTGACCAATCACGCGAGATACATCTGCGCAGGAAATAACCCCTAAGGATTTTATATCAGAAACTATTTTTTCTCTGACATAAGTTCTGTACAAAAGTATAGAGGAGCAAGGGAGAATAGAGAAAACCGAAAGTAAATTTGAAACTTTGTTTAGTTAACCTCATTTAGACTCTCATGTCATTTTGGATTTATTTAAAGTTCAACGTTCGTTGTTGGAAAAAATACCATGTGTTGCATGAAATAAAAACACGTACAATAAAAGAAAACCCCTGATTCGCAAAAGAAACGACAATAAATCTTTCATTCTTTCATATCGGCCCTTATATACTCATCATTCGTTCTACCTATCTCTTTCTTTCTCTCTGTCTTTTTTTCGTCATCCATACAGCAATATGTATATACATGGGGTGTATATATACTAACGCACTCAGCTTCTTTCGTCACAAGGAAACATAAGATGGCGATGGGTTTCGGGTGAAAAATAGTGATACACTGCGCACCTGAAGATTTGTATTTTCGTCGTCGATGATCTTATCCGTTTCCATGTTGAGATCACGTTTTACACGCACTACGCACCGGTTGCACCTCCGTAATCGGCGACGTCGTCGTCGTCTCGAGTTTGGAATGGAATCGATCCGAGGAAAAGCACGCGGGAGCGGCTACGAGATGTCGAATGTCGAACGCTGAACGTCGAACGAACGAACGTATGAATGAAGGAACGAACGGACGGACGGGCGGGCGGATGGACGGACAGATAGACGAACGAACGAACGAACGAACGAACGAACAAGCGAGCGAGCGTGTAAGCAGAAATGATCGAAAAGAAACTCAAGCTAGACAAGTCGTGCTATTCGACACTGCTGTCTACGGCGCTGGCGTTGCCGTTTTCGTAGTCGTTATTGCCGCTACTTTAATTTCTTCAACACGATCGACGACGACGTTCGCGTTCTCTCGCCATATACAGCTAATTCAAGACAACATATTTCACTAAAAGCCAAAGAAAAATATCATGTAGCAGGATATATACACACAAGGGACTACGCGTCACGACACGCTTTATAGGAAGCACCCCGTCTACGACGATGATATTCCGAGTTGATACGACGGTCATATAATGAGAGAGGGAGAGAAAAGAGAAACGCCACTGGAGTCGCCGCTGTCGCGTAGGCAGGGCGAACGGCCGCACGATACGATTCGACGCCAGTCGACTTCAATCCCACTCCTCCCCTTTTCTGTCTCTCTCGTACTCCCTTCTTTCTTTATCCTTCTTTTACCGAAGAAGTTTGAGAACACACCATACGTAGACAGATCTAAGTGTATACGAATGGCTGACGTTATTGAGGTGCACAGCACCAGAGGTGTTGAACAGTAGGGTGGGTACAGCGAACAGAGAGATGATGGAGGTAGAGAGACAGATGTGCCGCCAACATGTTATTTAAAAATGACTAACATTAGTGACATCTCACTGCGAATAGCCGAAATAAAAATTAGCAGATATTTTATTTCAAACACTATTACCGCGTTTCTTAATGTAAAGATTTACTAATATGATTATTTAGATTTTGAGCTCTATAAGATGCCGTATTAATTGGGATGTAAGAGTAATTAATTGTAAGAATGAGGATAATTAATCATAAAGTAGATAAAATGATAAATTGTATGTCGGATGTATTTTTATGGGTTATTTTGTTTAAAATGGTCGTGAATAAGTCACGGGGTTAAAATATTTTACTCAATACATCGTTATTTTTCATTAAATGGTAACATTCAATATTAAAATCTTTACATTATATCCACTTGATTTGTTCAGTTTTGTTAGTTTTCATATTCTCCAATTGCAATTGCATAATTAAAGCTTTATAAGGTTTATGGCATATTTGAGAATCTAATGGTGGATAATAATGTCTATAACATAGGTATGTTAAGCAAGATCCTATAATTCCGCCAACCACAATATCTAAAATAATGAATAGTTAATCTTTGTTGTAATATATTTTTATATATAAATTTACCTTGCCAATGATGATGATAATCACAAGTACGACTTAACGCAATAGCAAGAGCAATACAAATGGGAAGAATAAAAGAGCAAAGTTTCCAAGATTGACCTTTGCCTAATAAACTAAATGTGTGAAGCTTTCCTGCTAAGTATAATGCCACAAAACCAAAGCTTGCGAACGCAACTAAAAATAGAATATATTATTAACATACGTAAACATTTATGTTAATTACATATATATATAT